GAGTGCCTTCGGACAGGCAGTGCAACTTCTTACCACTAAGCCGTCAAAGCTTCCACAGTTAACCAAAGTAGGCCCCCAATTGAGTCTCTCCTAAAAGTAAAGTGGTATAAAGCAAACTTTTAAAAGGCAAGGAACACCTGTAAAATCCACTATCCAGAAAGAGGTCATGGATGGCGTTTGGTGGTAGCCAGGTAACGAGAGGAGGAGTAGCACTAGAAACTGCATTTGTTTCAATTGCTTTGATCATTATACTGCATTGGCTCAACAGCTGAATGTGGAAGTCTTATCAGATTGGCTTGAGTGAGACCATATGGCTATGTTACGTGTGCGTGTTTTCATAGTTTAATTATGTTGTCTTCACTGTGGCATTTGGACAAGAACAAACTGGGAGGAGGGTAGAGAGAATGGTGCAGCGGTGAATGAATGGAAACCCAAAATCTCTGTAAATGTTTATGAAAATTAATAAAATATAATTATAGAAAAAAAAATTATGTTGCCTTGGTGTCAATGGAAGTTAGCAATGTAAAAGAGAAAATAATTTGGTGATGTGTTGGGGTAGGGGATTGTATTTGCATGGCTGGGAAAAGAATGTATCAGGCATGTGCTATTTGTGGAAAAAATATGGCGATCAATGACACAATCAGGCTAGGTCTAAAGGAAGTTACTTGGTGATGGACCTACAATACTGGGAGGTAAAAAGGGGAAAATCAAGGTTCTCTGAAGTTTTGAATCAGCTTTTGACCACCACAGGCCATACTTGGGGTTATTTTGTTGGGGGTTTTTTTAGGATTATAAAATAAGCCATGCTTTGAAAGGTAACTATACTAAAATACAGTGAATGAGACAGAGAGATGGAGAAGAACCAGAATAAATCAACAAAGAGATTAAAAAAAGGATAGGGTGGGGGTTTTTTTTTTCTTAATAAAAGAAAGGTAGTTCTCACAAGGCTAAGGATCTAAAAATGGTCACAAGCAGCTAGTTTTTAAAAGCGTTTTCAATTTCTCTTGGTAATTGGTGACATGTAGATGTAGATGTAGAATCTTATTACTGTGGGAATATGTTCATATTTTATCAGAGTTGAAAACTTGCACAAACAAAAAATAACAAGACTCTGAAATTTAGGTATGGCTCTCTATACTAATAATAAAACCGTGTTTGACCCTGAAATACTATAAGCAAATAAAGAGGATCGAGAAACTGCCATGTTATTTTAATAACTACTTCAGTATGAACAGAATAAAACATAATAATGGAGGGCACACATACTTGCTTGGTATTAGTGACATAATATTTTGCTGTTTTAGAGATGAATCAAAAGGCATCGTTTAAGCCAGATGTTGAAATAGATTAGGATTAATATTTCGGAAATACGTAATATTTTAAAATGTGTGATAAGGGAGCTCTGGCAGCCTAATGCGTAAGGAGTTATGCCACCTACCCAAATGCATGCAGTTCGAATCCACCAACTGCTCTGTGGAAAGAAAGATGGGCAATCCCCTGCAATGTGATGATAGCCTCTGAAAGCCCACTATAAGTCAGTTCTGCCTGGATGGCACATAACAGCAATATAGAATATGTAACCAAACATCTGCTACTGGGAGCCCTCCGTGCAAGTGTCTTTATACCACACTGTACTTGCCTTCTCAAAATTCAGTTGGGATCTGTTCTCAATACTGTATATTTTTAAACATCCCACCTGAGAGGCAGTTTGGCAGAGTAGTTACAAGCTCAGATTCTTTTTTTTTCCCTCCCATTCATTCATTGTTGCACCCTTCTCCCCTCCCAGCCCTCCCCCCCAGTACACTACCCTCTCAGAAAAGTAAAAGACATATTTTTTCATTGTTTTACAAACCCTCTCCCAGGTCCACTCCACCATGTAGCCTTTGCTCTAGACTCCTGTCATGACAAAAATATCCAATCACATATCCCTTTTTAAAGAGTTTTCTCCCTCATCTGTTTCAATGCAGTATATATTATTGAACCCATCTTTCTTAGTCTCTCCCCAACCCCAAGGTCAGTCTTGTTTTACAACAGTGACACCATGCAGTATTTGTCCTTTTGTGACTGAGATAGTTCACCCAGCATAATGTTCTCCAGAGTCACCCATTTTGAATAATATTGCATGAGTTCCTTGTTTTTCAATGCAGCATAGTATTCCATTGTGTGAATATACCACAGCTTCTCTATCCATTCGTTTGTTGATGGGCACTTAGGTCATTTCCAACTCCTTGCTATTGTGAACAAAGCTGCAATAAACATGGGTGTGCATATATCTGCTTGGATGTCAGTTATAGTCTCTTTGGGGTATATTCCCAGTAGTGGAATTGCTGGGTCAAACAGTATGTCTATTTGCAACTTTTTGAGAAAGCACCACACCGCCTTCCACAGTGGTTGCACCACAAGCTCAGAGTCTATAGTCAGCATCTGGGCTTTACCCCTTCCTGGTTATGAGACTCTTAGTCATTCAAGTCACTCGGAACTGACTCATAGCTTACCCTTCAGCAGCATTCTGAAGCTGTAAACTGCACAGGAGGAGATTGTCTATCTTTTTTCCATGGAGTCTCTGGTGGGTTCTAAACAGCAGAGACACAGCCTTCAGGTTAGCAGCACAGCTCGCTATGGGCAATGCCACCACAGCTACCTTACTGAGTCATAGAAAGTTTAAACCCTTTGACCTTCTAGAATCCCTGTTTATTAAGTGAGAATAAGAGTTCAGTTTATCTCATTGTTCTATCCTGTTGGTTGGATTAAGATAATCCCTGTAAAAGTACTTTCAACAGCCCTTGGCACATAGTAAATACTCCTTAAAGGGTCACTAGAGATATTCTTCATTACTATCAATGAAACAGATACTCTTCTCCAACATCAGTGAAGGAAAAAAGATCCTGTTGAAAGAAGAGTAAGGGAGAGATCCAGACTGAGTTCCTGGAAGTCTGTGACTGAAGTGGAGTGCTGGTAAAGGTCATTCCTTGGGGCTGAGGCTAAGGAACAGCGAGGACGTTCTGACTGGGCATCTAGATAATGATCATTTCTTGGAATGAAAGCAAGAGAGGTGCAAAGACTTCCAGAATACTGGAGAATTAGTGAGAAGAAGGTAACATAGGCCCATCTTGGGTCTTCCAGGACCACCCCATACCCCAGTTCTTGTAACGTTACACGTTCCTATACTCCTTCAAGTTGTGGTTCTGGAGAAGAGTCTTGAACATTCCACGGACCACCAAGAAAACAAATAGGTCTGTCTTGGAGAGGGTGAAACCAAGTTTCTCCTTGGAGGCTAGGATTTTGAAGCTCTGTCTCACATACTTTGGGCACGTGGCCAGGAGGGACCAGGTCTTTGAGAAGGACAACATGCTCAGAAGGGTGGAGGGACAGCACAGGAGAGGAAGACCCTGGATGAGATGGATTGATGCAGTAACGGGGACAATGGGAGTAAGTGTATTGAAGTCAGTGAGACTGGTTCAGGATGGGGCAGGCTTTAGAGCTGCTATACACAGGGTCGCTATGAGTCGCAGGTGACTCGATGGCACAGAACAGCAACAACAACACCCACTTCAACCACTTTTTCTTTCAAATAAGGAAAACAGGGGGGGAAAAAACTAAGCAAAATATTCTAATGTTTCCTAGTTGTTGTTAAATGTCATAGAGTCGACTGCCACTCATAGCAACCCTATGAACAACAGATCTGAACCTTCTCCTCTCCTGTGGCACCTCTGTTATGCTCAAGCCCACTGTTACAGTCACTTTGTTGAGGGTCTTCCTTTCTCTGATCTGCCACCTTCCCCAGCATGATGTCTTTTTTCAAGCACTGGTCCCTCCTAAAGCCTCTCACACACACAATGGGCATCTACTGCATGCAAACCACTGTACCTAATTCAATGAAATTAAATCATTTTTTGTGTCCCAATACCTTGGAATACGGATAAAAACATGGGCACACAGGCCACTGACTGACTATCACTGATGCAGAGCAACACAGAACAATATGTGTTTATGCAACACTGCCTCTCAAATAGTGGGTGTAAAACGAAAGACCTCCAATGGATACTCTTCTCAAGCTCATTTCTTAATCTATAATATTTCCTTCATATGGTCAACACATGGAAGCAGCATTTTTAATTGCCTGGCAGGAAAAGAATTCCTTGGGTTGCTTATTGAGACTCTTGGAATCATTCAGAGCTAACCTATCCTACCTGGCCTAACCCCACAAAGTAAAGCTCTTTCTAGGGTACGACAGGGGATGCTTCACTTAATGCTTTAAAGTTTGAAGTAAAAAACAAAACATTCACACAGATTCTGGATTTTTAGGCTCTCGGGATTTTCTCTGATAACAGAAAGAGTCAACAAACCATAGCCAATACTTGCCATTCTAAGAATAAACATACAGACTCACTTAAAAGGATGACTTGCCATAACTGTAAATATCAAACGATGCTGCTTTACTCTATGACACATCCGGATGTTCTTTTCTACTAGCTTTACGTTGGTAACTTTCATGAAGAAATAGAAACAGATAGTATTTTAGAAAACAGAAACTAGGAACAGTGAAATAATGATCCATTCTTTTCCTACATGGCTAGAGAAGTGGGGTGGGGGGATCAATCATGGAGTTGTACAAGTTGATGGGGGGGAGAGGGAAATTGGAAGAATCTGATCTGAAAAACAATGTATTCAAATTTTGTAGATAAACTAATATAATAAAAATTAAAAATTTCCATGGGAGGAAAATATAATACAAAACACCTATATACAGAAAGATTCTGAAAAATCCATCTTCTGGAATTGTTGGTTATTCTTGCTCTCCATCTCTAGCCAGAAGCAGGTAAAGTGAATTCAGCTAAAGACCTCACCAAATATCGAAGGGAGTATCAACAGGAAACGACAGTGAGGTCTTCTGCTGGGGCAGATAAACAACAAAAAGACATTTACTAAAACCCCAAAACCTCTTTTTCCTCCTGTCCTATGTGCTTGTCTCCAGTCCGAGCCTGAAGGAAGTTTCTTGGTCATTTGAACTGGTTGTCAATCAAGGTCCCCTTCATTTTAGCTTTCTTAGCTTCTAGTTCAGCCTGTAGAAGAAGAAAGGTGACATGATATTCCATTCTTATTTTCCTTCCTTGTGCTACCTGCCCCAAACACTATCCCTTATTGCTCTTTTAGTACATAAGTGAGAATAGACATATGGATTGAGGTTCAATGTCAAGAAGACAGATTCTCACCACTGGACCAACTGGCAGCATCAGGATGGATAGTGAAGAGAATGAGATTGTTCACAGCTTTAGTTTGCTTGGCTCCACAGTCAACACTCTTGGCGCCAGTAGCCAGGAAATAAAAAATGTATTGCAATGGGAAAGTCTGCTGTTAGGGACCTCTCCAAAGTACTGAAGAACAACGGTGTCTCTCTGGAGACTAAGGTGCATCTGATACAGGCCATGGTCTTTGCGATCACTTGTTATGCATCAGAGAGTTGGACAATGACTAGGGAGGACAGAAGGAGAATTGATGCCTTTGAGCTGTGGTGCTGGAGAAGAGTATTGAGGGTACCATGGACTGCCAAGAAAACAAACAGATTCATCCTAGAGAGGGTTAAACTGGTGGCTCCTTGGAGGCAAGGATTCTGAGGCTTTGTCTGACATACTTTGGACATGTTGTAGGGTGGCGGGACGGTGAAGGAGGGGAAGGCCCTATATGAGGTGGATTGATTCAGTGACTGGGGTAATTGGGATGGGTGTATTGGAGACCCCACTGGCACAGGACAGAGCAGGGTTTAGGGCTGTTGTACATATAGGGTTGCTATGAGTCGCAGACTCGCCGGCACATAAAAACAACAATAACAACTTGAATCTTAAAAATCTTGAGCAACTTCTTTCCAAACTTTCTGATGTTATAGCACACACAGACAATGAAAATCTGCATACGGCAAAGTGGGGGTGAAGAAACAAGGGTATAGGCAAAGGCAACTGGTACAGGGATCCCAGCAGCCTCAAGGTCCCCCAGGGGTGAGGGAATCAATAATGAGACATGCCAGTATTGAAAAAAGTTGCCCTAGAGCACTGTCACTCCAAGTTGTCTGGCTCACAAACTGCCACAAGCCTGGGACTTGTATGTTACTGGGCCATACATGATACGTACAAGAACTGAGAGCAAGCATGTAGAAATTTCTAGCCATTTTACAGGGCGATAATAAAATAATAGCCTAAGAATAAAAATCAAGGCCATTTCATTTTCTTTATAAATGGCAAATCTGTCTATGACAGATAAGAAAACAATAACAAAAAAGCACTGGTCCTTTACCTCAGAAAGTTTAATAAGTTTGCTCCAGACCATGTCAGTAAGGTTAAAAAAAACTCTACAAAACCAGCTTGAGACCTACCACCACTGTCACCTCAGAATCCTCTCCAGTTGTTAGAATGTCTTTTGATGAGGTATTAATGCAGGATGCTTGGTTTTAATAAAAGATCCTAAGTAAATTATTATCCAAAACTGAAAATTTTGGCAACAACATCTAAGATGAGCCCACAAATAACACAGACAACCACCCAAAGTGCTTTAAGCGGTAATGCTAAGCCCCAACCATGGTGAGGCCAAAGTAGCATGGAAGTATATGCTGTCTCCCCAGAAAGCATGCATAAACCCTGACTTTTTGCTCCCTCCACCCCTCTTGGATCACAGGTAGCAGATCAAAATGTTATTCTAGTTAGGACTATCTAACAAGTATTTCTTCTGGGGAGTGGGGAAGATCTTATGGAAACCCCAGCTGCCAGCTACATGCAGTCCCAGGATTAAGACAATTAACACTTGCCCTTTAATGCTATGTAAATTAGCCTTCACTCTGAAAGGACTGAACCAACTCTTAATTACAAAAAGGTCTTCATCACAATCACCTTCGCTCGCTGCATGTGCAGCTTTTAAATCACTGAGAGGGCTTCAAGCTTTCCCCTCACACCAAAGTAAAGCTAAAAATAGAACCAACTGCACCTGTTCTGAGTGACCCACAAACTCTTAAATTCTTAAAGGAAAGGATCGTGTTCCTAACCGTGTAACGCACTGTGGACATAGCAGTAACCCCCAACTGATTCCTGAAGAACTCCCTGCCTGGCCTGGAGGAGGGACATCCAAATCATGAAACCCAGCTTTTGTTCCAGCCCGCGCCGCTCACCAGCTCCTGCAGCCTCCTCTTGCTCATGCCTTTGCGCTCCAGCTGCTTCTCAATCACTTTGGCATTCTGTGCATATGAGTCAGCAACTTCCCTCTGAGAGAAACAAGAAGCATCCTGAAATCGGCAGTCTCACCGGTGAACAACAAAGAACAGAAGCAGCAATTTTTGCCACTCAAATCATGAAATCATTACAGAAATGGCATGGCTCTGTTTTCTTTCACCTCTCTCTCTTTGAAATAGCCCAGGCGCATTTCGGTTTCACTTGAAACCATTTTCAAAATAACATCTCTCCCCTAAAACATCATTACACTGAAGAACCATACAGGCAGTTGACACCATTGCTAAAGAGAAATTCACCCATCCTCAGAGCTGAAACGCAAGTCATTTCATCAGAACACTTTTAAATTGAAGAGGGAAGGGAGCTTTGTCCCCTCAAGTATCTCAACTGGACACTAGGCATCCAGTCTCTTCCAAACAGAGCAGGGTCTCAAAGCAAGGTCTCTAATTATTCTGCTACTCAAAGCTAAAGAGAACTATGATGGCGTAGTGGACTTTTTGCTGGCAACACAAAGGCACATAGTTCAAATCCACAAGCTGCCCTGTAGAAGGATGGATAATCAACCCTCTGTAATTTACTACCTCTGAAAACCCTCTAGGGGGTCAGCTATGGATTGGTTCCCACTCAATGGTACACAATTACTCCAAGGGAGCTTTGGTGGCTGAATGGTAAGGAGTCGCACTGCCAACCCAAAGGTATCCAATTCAATTCCACTAGCTGCTCTGCGGCAGAAGGGCAAATCGCCTCTCATGTGATTTACTGCCTCTGAAAACTCACCAGAGGCTCAGCTATGAGTCGGTTCCAACTCGATGGAACACAACAACAACAACAATGCTCTAGAGTCTCCTTGACTCTCACGCCACCTCTCCTCAAATGACAATCCCTATGAGGGCAGAAGCACTTACAGCCTCAATCTCCTCTTCCTCTTCGTCAATGGTAGACACGGTGACAGAGCTGAACTTGCCCATGTCTTTAGTCCGTTTGGTCATCATCACCTGAAATATCAGGAAGAAGAATTAGTTCACCAAAGGATTTGTGAACGGGGTGTGTGTGCATGTACGCATGAGCATCTAGAGGGGCTACAACTAGTTCTTTGCGATGAGTTGACTGACTGAAAGGCACCAATGCTTTTATTTACATAATATTTCTTTAACATTTGTCCTTGAGCATTTCTAAACTACATATGAAATTGGTCTAAAAAACTTGGCCCCATTCCTTCCATTTTCTATCGCTCACTCTGGACAAAGAAATTTGAAGGAAATAAATGTGAACAAAGAAAGATACATTTTCTAACTTTACAGGGCAGCAGCATTAAAGAGAACATATAATAGATGGTTTACAATTCTGGACCACCCGCTTAGACACAAAAATGGCATTCTCTCATAAAAGCAGACATCCATAAAGGACAGTTTCTCAGGCCCTTAAATCTTACTCTAAAATGTAGGTTTCAACCTGTAGCTGTATGAAACCAGCTGGTTTCCTTCAGCGATGATTACCTTCTTAGGAGGCTCTTGTTTCTGTGTATAGATATTTGTCTTTCCAAATCCCTGGCCGAACTTGACGACTGCGCCATCCACGATGAAGGTCACAGGAGCGTTCTTGGGCTGGGACTGGTAGAAGAGTGGCAGGCCACACCTGCAAATAGCATGGTGAATCGCTGAGTGGCCCCCAGTAACCAAATCCCCCAAATAGCAACTTGCCGAATATGCTTGGACTCTGGGAATATTCTTGTTGCATCAGAAACGAATGATTACGCTTCCCAGTGGTTCTCAAAACTACTTGATAAGCATCACTTTGGATGCTTGCTGTCCATCAAATTCCTAGGCCCTTCCCCAGAAGATCCAGACTGAGCAAATCTGGGGGGTAAGTTCTGGGGCTTGGTCATTTTAATCAGCATAGGCGATTCTGACCATCATGAGACAAATAGGGAAAATACTGCCTCACACTGATTGCTTCCTAGTCAAAGCGGCTATCATTCCTTTTATTTGGGGCTTTTATCTAGCCTTGTCTGTCTGTCTTTCTGTCTGTCTGTGTGCACACGTGGTTGGTTTGTGCCATGTCAAGCAGGAGTATAGATGTTCTACTGCAGTGTTCTGCAAACTAAGTCCTGTAGTAAATATTACAATTCCTCACCTTGTTCATATTATGTATTTTGAGCTAGATAAAGCAGACCTATTCTGATGACAGGGAGCTCCAGTGGCTTAGTTGTAAAGAATCATGCTGCCAATGCAAAGGTACACAGTTCTAATCCACCAGCCGCTCCACAGGAGAACGATGAGTAATCAACTCCTGTGTGATTTACTGCCCCTGAAAATGCACTGGAGGGTCAGCCATGGATCAGTTCTGACTTGAAGGAACACAACATTCAGATGGCTTAGTGGGCAACATGTTAGGCAATTAACTGAAAGGCTGGTGTTTCAAGTTCACCATCTGCTCCTCAAAAGAGATGAGGCATTCTGTTCTGATTAAAATGAACAGCCTCTGTCTTCTATATTCCATGATATAATAAAACAACTATTCCCATCCTCTCCCAAAAAAATAAAATTAACAGCCTCCAAAACTGGATGAAGGGCCACCACAAATTAGAATCGACTCAACAATACAGAGTCTGGCTTTTTGGCTTAGAAGAAAAGCTGTAAGACGAATGAATGAATGAATGAAAATCCAACTTTCATTAAAAATCACAACAAAAAAATTTTTATTGATATTGTAACAAAAGTTTACAGAAAACTTGGATTTCCATTCATTCATTGTTGCAAATCACAACAAAAAAATTATTTAAGAAAAGAAGAGATATAAGGCGCTCTGCCAACTCAAAAGCATGTGGTTGGACTCCACCAGTTACTCCAGGGGAGACAGAGGGACCACCTCCTCCCATTCAATTTATAGCCTCTGAAAACCAACTAGAGGGTCAGCTATGAGTTGAGTCTGACTCAATGGCACATAAAACCCAGAAGATATGATAAATAGTTAAAGGAAGAAGATGAGGCAGTCTGCTTTTACAGCCTTGAAAAGCCTAACAAACAGACAATTCTACTCTGTCCCACAGGGTCTATATGGGTAGAAATTGACACAACAGAGATGGCTTTAAAAAAAAAAAAGATGGAGTCCCTGGGTAGAACAAATGGTCAGCGCTGATGGCCATTAACCAAAGGCTGGAAGCCTAACAATATGCTTCTGAAAAATCAGCCACTGAATATGATGCTATCAAAATGCAAAGACATTTGACTGTGTGGATCACAACAAATTGTGATTAACCTTGAGGAAAATGGGAATCCCAGAACATTTAACTGTGCTCATGTGAATCCTTATTCAGACCAGGAAGTGGTCGTCAGGACAGGGCAAGGAAATACTGCATGGTCCAAAATCAGGACAGGAGTGCATCAGGGATGTGTCCTTTTCAATGTATATGCAGAACAGACCACTTGGGAGGCTGGACTATGTGAGGAGAAATGTGGCATCAGGATTGGAGGAAAACTCATCAACAACCTTACTTGCTGAAACTGAGGAGGACCTGAAGCACTTACTGCAGAAAGTCAAGGACCATAGTCTTCAATATGTATTGAAGCTCAACATCAAGAAAACAAAGATTCTCATCACTGGGACAATTAGCAGCACCATGATGGATGGAGATGAGGTATCAGCAGTCAGGAAATCAAAAGACAAATTGCACTGGGAAAATCTGCAGTCAGGGACCTCTCCAGAGCACTGAGAAGAAACAGTATCGGTCTAGAGACCAAGATGTACCAGATTCAGGCCATGGTCCTTGCAATTACTTGCTAAGTGTCAGAAAGCTGGACAATGACTAAGGATGACAGAAGAATAGATGCCTTTGAGTTGCAGTGCTGGAGAAGAGTCTTGAGGATACTATACAGACCGCCAAGAAAACAAACAGGTTTGTCTTGGAGAGGTTGAAACCAAGTTTCTCCTTGGAGGCAAGGATTTTGAAACTCTGTCTCACATACTTTGGGCATGTGGCCAGGAGGGACCAGTCCTCAGAAAAGGACATCATGCTTGGAAGGGAGGAGGGACAGCACAGGAGAGGAAGACTCCAGATGAGATGGACTCAGTGACTGGAGAAAAAATGGCAATAGGTCTGTTGGAGATGATGAGACTGGCTCAGGATAGAGCAGGATTCAGAGCTGTTGTACATCAGGTCACTATGAGTCACAGGCAACTCCATGGCACATAATAACCACCATCACTGTGTATGACACTCTCAAGAAAAGTTCTACTGTAACATTCACGAGGTTACCATGATTTAGATGTCACTAGATAATTGCGTATTTTTTGTTTTGTTAGGGTTTTTTTTTAGTTACTTTGTTTTTCTTTTCTTGTTGTGTACCATTGAGTCAGATCCTACTGGCACAGGAGGAGACTGCCCCTCATTTTCCAGTGGAGTATCTGGTGGATTCGAACTGCATGCCTTCAAGATTGCAATGCAGCTTCTTGCCACTAAGCCACCAGATCTCCCTTGTTTTTTATATTTTTAAGCAAGACATCATCAAATCAATTTAACCTATCGTATGTGGTTGTGAATGAAAATAGTTTCTTTTTGAAAAAGTTTTGTATTGGTCTGCATATACCTCACTTCCACAGCAGCAGCAGCAAAGTTCAACAAAACAGCAAACAATAAATGTATTGTTGGTGGGATTGTAAAATGGTACAACCATATGGAAGGCAGTTTGGCATTTCTTCAAAAAGCTGGATTCAAGGGAGCTCTGGTGGCCTAGTGGCAAGAAGCTGTGCTGCAATCCCAAAGGCTCATGGTTCAAATCCACCAGATGTTCAGCTGGAGAAAGAGGGACAATCTCCTCCTGTACCAGTCAGATCTGATTTGACGGTACACACACAAGAAATAGTAATTTTTTTAAAAAAAAAAGCTGGACACAGACGTCCCATATGACCCAGCTATTCCACAACTAGGAGTATATCCAAAGGAATAGGTATTACACTGAAACAGGAACAGGCATTTCTTTTTTTTTTAAGGAACAGGCATTTCTATAGCTATGTTCATAACAACATTAAAATGGTTTCTTATCCATTTCTTCTATTTGAGTCATCTAGTCCAAGTCCTTTGAGAGTCAAAATGAAACTGTGGAAAGACTCAACAATTATAGATTAATCTCATTATTAGTAGCATAACACTAGAAATCCCCTCCCTTTAACTATTACTCTCTAAACAAAGGTTTTTAGGGTATGCGACAATCCTATAAGAGACTCTGTTAGGAGGTCTGGATTAAATCACATTGTGTTACATTTACTATATTACCCAGCAATATCACCAAAGAAAATACATCTCCCTTTCAATTTATATGCCTGAATGTTCATAGAAAGTTTATGTGTCATAGCCCAAAATGAAAACAATTCAAATGGCCTTCAGTGGGTGGATGGTTAAACAAACTATGGTACATCCTTGCAAGGGAATATTACTGAGCAATCAAACTATGACAAATGAAAAAACCTGATCAATTCCAAACGCAATACACTAAGTGAAAGAACATAAGAAAAAAAACATTGTAGGTCAAAAATCCCACTGCTGCTGAGTGGATTCTGACTCACTGAGGCCTGGTAGGACAGAGGAAAACTACCCCATATGGTTTCCGAGGATGTAAATCTGCATGGAAACAGAGTGCCGTATCTTTCTTACACAGAGTAACTATTGTTTTAAACTATAAACCTTTCTTTTTTTTAATTTTTATTATTTTTTATTATTTTGTGTGCGTGTACCATCAAATCAGATCTGACTGGTACAGGAGGATATTGCGCCTCCTTCTCCGGCAGAGCATCTGGTGGATTCGAACCGTGTTCCTCTGGGATTGCAGTGCAGCTTCTTGCCACTAGGCCACCAGAGCTCCCCATAAACTATAAACCTTTCAGTTAGCAGATATGCACTTATCTAAGGCACCACCAGGGTGGTGGTAGGTGCCATCAAGTCCACTTGACTCACAGTGACCCTGTGAACAACAGATCTGAACCCCACCCTACCATGCACCATATTCATGATCTCCATCATGCTCGAGCCTGAGGTCACTGTGTCAACCCATCTCATTGATGTTCTTCCTCTCTTTCTCTGATCTTCCACCTCTCCTAGCATGAGATCTTTGTCCAAGGACTGACCCTTCCTGATAATATGCCCAAAGTATGTGAGACCAAGTTTCACCATCCTTGCCTCCAAGGAGCACTCTGGTTGCACATCTTCTCCAAGATATATCTGTTTGTTCTTTTGGCAGTCCATGCAATACTCAATACTCTTCTCCAACACCACAGCTCAAAGGCTTGTATGGTATTCTTTATTTTGGTATTCTTTATTTACTCTCGTTTATTGTCTTCTTTATTTACTGCCCAACTTTCAGATGTACAGGAAGCAAATGAAAACCCTGTGGCTTGGGTCAGGTGCCCTGTAGTCTTTAAATGGATATCCTAGCTCTTTAGCACTTTTCAGGGGCCCTTGACAGTCAGTTTGCCCAATGCAATACATCTTTTGATTTTTTGACTGCTGCTACTATTGGATTGCAAACCAAGTGAAATGAAATTGCTGACAACTTCGATCTTTTTTCCCATATATCTTGATGTTGGAAGCAGGAGTGGCATCCACTTCCTAAACCACATGCCTCTGGAAACTCTATGAACTT